TGGCAGCTTCTTTTTCTTTTCTTCACAACAACTAAACATTAACTCTGGAACAAAGGAAAAGGCCTGTATTGTGTGATGTCAATTTGGACACCTCTTGATCTGTTTTGATGTGCCACTTTTCTTCTCTTTTTGAGAAGATCCCTCTGCTCCATGAACATGGAGAGTGGGGAAGAAAGCCACCCCTTGAAATAAGATCAAACTTTCTTTCAGATCTAAGCACTTCCCCGAGACTTCAGCACCAGACTGAGGTCTTGTGGTTCTACCCATGAATATGTAGAAAACACCCAGGACTGGGTGGCTGCCCTGTATAGCTGCCTTGTATATGAGATGGTGAGGGGATGTTTGCTGTTTGATACAATCCTGAATATCTATTACATGGCTGTACTGAACTTCAAACAAAGTAAATCCCGCTTGTACTGTTTCATAGCCCTCATGTTTATGGTTGCCAGACGTCAGGCAAAAGGAGGACATGTCCTCCTTTTTAGCCTAATGTCCTCCATCTGGCAGGCAAAGATAAAAACCTTTAAAATGTCAGGCTTTTGTATATTTTATGTTATAATTTTGGATGGGAGGAGGAGAGATGGAAGGACCCCCCCTCTCCCTGTCTTTCCCCACCCCCAACTGCCTGCCCCCTGTTACCTGCCACTGGGCAAAACCGAATGAGGCAGGCTCCGCTCCCCCGAGGGTCATAAGTTCAAGGCTGGGGAGCGTGGGAGTTGGAGTCCCTGAAAGGGACTTTCAACACACAGCTATTGAAATAAAATTTTATTGATTGCAGTTTAATTCAGAAAGATTCAAATGAAACATTCAATACATCCTCCTCTGTCCTCTTTTTTGTCTTTCTATGTCCTCCTTTTGGTACCCATGTATCTGGCAACCCTACTCATGTTCTTCCATGTTGGCACAGTCTGCAAAGTGACTTTAATCGCAAAGGAAGGCTGTCTGTTTGAGGTGTGAACTACACTGTTTAAGAAGTGAGTAAAAATGTCTCAGTAAAATAAAGGCGATGCAATGAACCTAAGGTGATGAACTGAGATGAGGTGGATGTGGTGCAGAAACTCAAAAACAATGTCAGGCAGCAGCTGACCTGCCCTTTCTGTGGACATACTTTCCTAACGGGATGTCAGAAACTGCAGTGAAAAATGGTTTCTGCATTTGACATAAGATTCATCTCGATGTGTCTGAGGAAGTAGGCTGTGGTGTTACAAAAGATTTAGTCCTTGAGATGCATCAGACTCTCCATTGTTTTGCTGCAACAGACTAATATGGCTGCTTTTCTTGAAACTGTGAGGAAATCCTATTAAGTATATAAAACTCTCTTCTGAATAAATATAGCAAGGACTGTGCTGCAAGAGTACAACCTATGAAATACCCCAGTTCAAAATTTACCTCAGAAACAATCCCACCCCAGAATTTAAAATCTTGGGGTTCCTAGAGTGGGAGCTGAGCCATCTAGATATGCAGATAAGTTTGGAGTGCAAACAAGCCATACAACCAGACTATATAAAGTGGTGGGATTGTGTCCCGCCCTTGTAATCTCTTTAATTGCAGAAACGTGAAAACTGAACAGGAGGAGGCTGTTGCTTGGTCTCTCCATGTGACCACAAAAGTCGATGCATGCTACAGTGTGGATACTATTCCATGTTCGTTGTCTGAGCAAGTGATGAGAGCATGTATTTGAAAAGACAAACAATTATGATGCAGTGATAAGGTAATAAAATGATCTGTGCTAAATTTATTATTTTAAAAGAAATTTAAAATGCATGGTTGGTCTCTCCATGTGAGCCAGAACCACAAAAGTCGATGCATGCCACAGTGTGGATACTATTCCATGTCCATTGTATGAGCAAGTGATGAGAGCATGTATTTGAAAAGACAAACTATTATGATGCAGTGATAAGGTAATAAAATTGTCTATGCTAAATTTATTATTTTAAAAGAAATTTAAAAATTTGGGGACACTCAGGAGACAGACTGCGGAGGCAGAGGTTATTGTGGCCCCAGAACATCACACCCCAACTGCCTATGTCAACACCACCAAGAGACAAGCCCCTCATTCTTTTGCACAACAAAACAACTGGTCACATGCTGCAGTATTTCATGGTGTAGTTGCAACTGTGGCCCCAAAACATCACACCCCAACTGCCTAAGTCAACACCACCAACACACAAGCCCCTCATTCTTTTGCATGACAAAACAACTGGTCACATGGGTGAAACACTGTTCACATTGTTCTGGCTTGGAAAAAATTAGAAGCCTGCAACAGAAGAGAGAAAGAAAAAAAACATGTCCGGAATGAAAAGGTTCAGATGCATTTGAATTGGCTTGTGCATCATGTGATCAGTACAAAAAAAGCCAATTAATCTGTTTTCCACCCGCAGCAAATGCTGCAGTATTTCATGGTGTAGTTGCAACCTCACAGGGATAGACTATGCAAGCATAGCACTCATCTCTTCAGACAGTCCTGGTTCTGTTCTTAAACTGACGGTGGGAAGGGCAGAGCCAAAATGCTTCCTTCCCTCAGGGCTCCATCTACTTTAAAGGCTGCTGTCCTTCCCTTTTATTGTAGGGTGGAGACCACATGTTCAAATCACCCTGCCTCAGAGTTTGTTCCCTCCTTGAAAGACTTACAGCTTTGGAAACACAGGCAAGTCTGTTGACAGGAGTAAACACCCATAAAATGTTGGACCAAGATGAGCTATATGCATCCAGAGTCAGAAAGACAGACTCTACAGAGTTGCCACTGATCGTTTTCTCCTCTTTTTCATCATTCTTTGTAAACCAGAAAATTAATTACCCGGAAAACAATTCTGCGCACTAAAAAGCAGAATAGGTTTAATGTATAATTTATATATGGAAATGCAGCTGGCAGAAGGGTGACAAATGACTATATAAATATGTTTCAGTTACATTTTTGGGTTAGCATGCATTAAGTTCATCTTCAGCACAAGACGATCTTCATCCTCTTAATGTTTTGCTAAAGCATTCTCAGCACCCAGTACCCACCCACCGCTGAGGAAACTAACAGATCAATCAAACTGAACAGGCCTGTTTGGAGGAAGGGGGAGAAGTGAAAACAGGCAAGAAGGCTGCTAAACCAGAGATATCCTTCCCCACTGAATTTAGTAACAGCAGTGAACAGAAAAAAGGAAAGAAATAGGGTAAGAACTCGCCCTTCCACTATTAAAAGGGCATTTTAGACCCTGTTGCTGGCCTGGGTCCATAGGCTGGGTCTATGCTTCCCTCAAATGATCATCTATATTTAAATCAAAAATTACCAGAGTCTGGGACCAATACTTTTTTTGGAACACAACTCCCTAAAACTCAGTTCAAAAAAGCAAAATTTTGAAGTTCTGAAAACTACCTGTCTAACATAAAGTTTCTTGCCCCACTTATCTGTAGCATTTGATAATTCTATAGTCTTTGCCATCACAATTGCCAGATAAGGCCTGTTTCTTCATGAATTGATGCATGCTTGTTTCCTCAACAAAGCTGAGGTACTCATGGCACTATTTGGGAATGTTTCTGTTGTAAAATTTCGAATTTCTGGTTAAATTCTTCTAGCTATGCAGCAGAAGTGCAGAAATTCACAGAAAAGAATAGCTCCACATTCCCCAGAGTCCACCTCATTTTCTTATCAACTGGCTTTTACAGTCTCAGTGACTCACTCAGAGACATTAGTAGAAGAAAGAATAACTATCATTTTCTTTACTTATAGTTGTAAACAGATGGAACAGCAAATTAAAAAACATGATTGACTGCTTCCGACAGTTTCAACCTCAGCCCAGCTCACCATTTGCAGCCCAGTATATTACATCATTCAGACTCCTGCACTGCTTTTCCACAGAGCTTGGAAAAGTTATCTTTAGAATACAAACTCTCAGAACCACCCCCCTCAGGCAGTAGGGAGGGTTCTAAGAATTGTGGTCCAAAGAAATAATGTTTCAAAGTGTTTTTTCTCTGTGAATTTGCATATGCTGTTAAAGCAATGAGCCTAGGTGCAAATGTGCCTGCCGAAAGAAAGTGAGAGCCAGCAAAAATTTGTCACAACAAGTTCACAGCCTAATATTTTCCAGACTGGAGCCACTGTGACTCAGAATGCTACCCCTAAACTTGAGCAGATTGCATTCACGGCCAATATGCATATATGCATAAAATAAAGAGACAAAATCAACTGGTTGTGCTTCCTTATTATTCTTTTCGTGGAGCACTTGGCTAATTTTCCTTTTTCTTATGCAATGCAGAACACCACAAAACGCCACTCACAGCGGGATCTACCATCAGAGGACGAAATTCCATCACTGCTAAACAGGGACTACGCTTCACTGAGGACTGCATCGTACTGCAAACGCTAGGTAGTCATTTGGTTTCAAGTGACTGTTTTTGTCTAATGAAACACTTGAATTTAACATCCACCTTGACAGATACGGGAATCGCCATGCTGGTGTTCCTGCTCCGTGCCAGGATAAGAGCTGTGTATTTCAACTAACAGGCAATGAATGGGCAGTTCGTAGAGTGCTCGGGAGCCTTTTGACCACAGAAATGGACACAGGCCACTCCTTCTGTATTCCTTAAGGTGCAACCTGATGACACCACAACTCAAATTGGCTCTCCAGGGCTGCTGTCCTCAGGTGGGGACTTAGGTAACTGCAGCTCCCATAGCTATTAATTCTGATCCGGACGAATTTTGAAGTTTTCTGTTTCTCCCTCTCACCTTCCTGAGTTTTCTAACACCTATCCTAATGAAACGTTCTGAAGCATTTGAAAGATCTCTTTAAAAAAATATTTTAGTAACCCAATACAAATACTTCCTAGCTGTACTTTTATGTTTTAGCCATAAGATCACATGATACAAGTCTTAATTTCCCCCTTCTCCACATTTTACTTCACAGTGCTTCTATCAGAGCAAACAACATAAAGAGAATATAACAGAAATTGGCCCATGAAAGCACCTCTAGAAATGAGCATGGGTAGTTGGAAAATTTCTCAGAACTGCTTACTCTGCTTGGGTCTCACAGTTCTCTTCAGCGCATCCTCTTCCTCCTTGGCTTGTTTGTCCCTTTCCTTCCATCGCCTGACCTGCTCTTCTCGCATCTTATAGAAGAGGATGTGCTTTTGTTCTTCATTCAGTTCAGCCAGGAGCTCCGGATCGATGTACATATCCCGTAGAATTTGCTGCAGCATGGCCAACGGGTAAAAAAAGCCAGACAGGGGCAGGAACAAGAATCTTTTAAAACCCCAGAAGTTTTGCCGGTGCCAGCAAAATAGTACCCTTCAGTGAGTCTCAAACCAATTTGGAGGCAAAGGAGCTGGTCCTTCTCCTGACAGGCTGGATTCTGTTTCATGCTCCGATTACTTTCCCTTAATCATCACAAAAAATAATGGCTTTTTGCATCACCTATCAACAGGTGTTCCCACAGAAAAGATGAAACAGGAGACATGCAGGACAAAGGTATACAAACAAAGATTGAGTGGTATCGATGGCAATACCTCCCCTGCCCGCCCGCCCCCCCGGAAGATAGTAGTTCTTGATAACTGTCACTAAAATACCTGGCAGTAGCTCACCATCTTTTAAATAGGTGATCTAATTTTGGCACACTGCTCTCCCTTCTCGTTTCCACAGCAGTGCGTTCCCACTGATGTGGTGAAAGACGTGTGCATCTCTGGTTTATTTTTAAATCCATGATGTCACGGTGAAAAGAAATGACACCACTGATATCTATGCCATTCCACTGCCCGTTGGGGATGGATTTCCGTTGATAAGAGGTCAAACATATTTACACATTTACGCTGACTCTGACTACTCTTGCCCAGAACCCACACCACCCCCCAATTGCCCGGGGTCATAATTAGCTACTGCCAAGAGCCATGGAGATTCAGTAGCACTAAATTGTTACGGAGGATCGTCAAACATAAGTGGGGAGAAGGCAGGATGGAATGGAAGAAGAGCCCAAAGCTGCAGTGAGAAAACTCTGGAAAGCTACTAATTAATATTAATTCAGCCAACGTCCGTCATCTGTCATCAGCAGTTCAAGCAGACTGCGTTAACCCTCCAAACCTCCATCCTGTGATGAGAGAAAAGAGTTGAGTTTGGTTTTGAAGCAAATTGAGACCTTTTGCTGTTTTTTTTTTTTTTTTTTTTTTTTTTTGGAATTTTCTCTGCTCTCCATAAAATGTTGCCAGCTCTTTAGGGTTTCTATTGAGACGATTGATATTTCCTGTTATTAATTATCATTCCAAACCTTCCAAATCAGCAGCTAAACAACCACGCCCCTTCGATCTGCACAGACTGCAAAAATTTGGAAAAACAAAACTGAAAAAAACAGGTATTTTCACCATCAATTACTACAGAGATATGAGGGTCTACTCTATTAAACCGATGGGCATTTTCCTTTCCCCTGAGGAAACACCCTTTCAACAGGAGGTGGGGAAATCCGATGGGATGGAGGCTAATAAGATTTGCCTTTGTGAGCCACAAGGAGCTTCAGGATATCAGTATACCAACCCCTGGCTTTTATGCCACAAAAAATGGGACTGTGGGGCAAAGTGATTAACTTAGATGCTAGATCTGTGAGCTGCATTTTTAATACCAGTCTTGCCATCCCAGTCTTGTAATATGTGATGATCACCATGCTTCATTCACAGAACCTTTAAAGAGATCCAAATGCCATTGTCTTCTTTTGAAATCCCCCCTTTTTTACCACTTCTCCCATTCTCCAGTCCACAAAAAAATCCTGAACAGAACAGTGCTGCAATCGATCTTGATTATTGACAATAGCAGACCTCTTCCTGGAATCACCAGAGCTTAAAAATGGCAGGGCGGAGACTTCTTTTTCTCCAAAAAAGGAACGTGTCGAAGGTCTAGAAATCACACAAAAATTATGGACAGAATGAGTTAGTTACTGCTGGGTGCTGCTGTAACACGATTACTCCTAAGTCTGAAACAAAAAAGAATTACTGCATTGATCCATTTTTCAAAAATTCAAACCCAGCTCTTAATTGGATCTGTCTTCAGCCTGCAAAGCATACTGAATGAAATCCTATTGTGCAGCTCCATGGGCACAATGGTGATGATATCATCAGCCATGGCAAATTGCCACTACTTAAAGGCTTTCTTGGGGGATTTTGGGGTCCATGCAGCTTTGCCTCGACATTTGAGTCATAGGCACCCCCCAAACAACTTTTAATGGGTGATTTATCTTTAATCAGTGCTAATTGTCATTTATGATGTTATTACTATTATGCATGTAAAGCTGCACAACAGGATAACTGCTAGATAGCTCAGTGGTTTCTGGCTGTGGAGCCAGAGGTTGGGACTTTGATTCCTTATAGACAGGGGCTGAACCTGATGATCCATAGAGTCCTTTCCAGCTCTGCAGTTCAAAGATGATTTTTGTTGTTGTTGTTGTTTTAGCCACTTTGTATTCAGTGAAAATCTACAAATTTAGAACAGATAAATATGTAATAGAACAATTGGCTCCTTCAGTTATCTGAATTCAGGCCACCCAAAGGCCACAGGAACAGAGTGATCTTTTACAGTTATCATACTACTTTAAAATATATTTAAAAGTGAACAAAAGCATTCCTCTAAAAGCAATACTTTGCACAATTTACAGTAGGGCACCTATACCATAGGGGTTTATCTGTGAAGAGCCTCAATCATCCAGGTGAGGTTATCTGGAAGCTGAGTCATGGCAACTGGACCTCTTTGTCTGAAGAAGCTACTTGGATGAGTAGCAAAACGTTTCAACCTAATAAGAAAGACATCCAGTTGCCATGACTCAACTTCCAGATCCACAGGGGTTGGTTCCACTGTCTACCATGGATGCTTGAAACTACAGATACAAGGGAACCTTATATACAACACACAAGGGAATGGGACAAAGGCCACAAGGGGGTGCCCTTGTATGTTCCATATAGGGCGGTGGCCAACTGCAAATAAGTGAAACTGCGCAGATCAATCTCATGGATACAGGCATCCTACTATATGACTACTCCTTGAATATAAGAGCCCCCTTGCTGTAGAGCAAAAATATCTAGCCCAGGAGTATGCAAATATGGCCATCCAGATATTTTCAGTTTCTTAGCCATAGCCAACCTAGCCAATGGTGAGGAATTATGGGGAATGTGATTCAAACACATTTGAATGCTACATTTGCCCAACCCTGACAAGATGGCTCTTTTAGGGAAGCTGTTTCGCTGTAAAACCTCAGAGGTGGTGACCTATTGGCACTCCAAATGTTCTGGACTACAACTCCCACAGACCTTACAGAATCCCCAGCCAGACAATACAGGCTGGGGTTTCTGGGAATTGTAGTTCAAACTACAGAATCCCCAGCCTGACAATACAGGCTGGGGTTTCTGGAAATTGTAGTTCAAAAGATGCGGATTGCCAAGATTTCACCCTTGCCTCAAGCAAGCTCGTGCTTCAAAAGGCCATTAGCATGCTCGTGTCCAATCTTTTTCAGTTCATAATCACATAATTGGTTATGTGGACTGCCAAGATTTCACCCCTGCCTCAAGCAAACTCGTGCTTCAAAAGGCTATTAGCATGCTCATGTCCGACCTTTTTCAGTTCATAATCACATAATTGGTTGACTTGTATCTGATCCCTCCATGCAAGTCTAAGAGTGACAGCTTAACCATATCTTAACCTCCGTTCTGGAATTGTTCCAATGTGTCTCTTGGTCACTTGAATTTTTCCATTAAACTTTTCAGCTTAACATCACACCTTGCAATAGCCCAGTCAAATGGCAAATGCTAACATGACTGGGGCCAAAGTAACAGATTGTTCGGGCTGCTCCTAGAGACAGCTTGTCTGAATCAGGACTTTTTAATGGTAGTGGAGAGAAAGAGGGTAAATAGATGTGGGGGGGCACCTCTTCATGCTGTGATCCTATAGGAGGGTAAAGAAGCAAGAGGCAGCTGTCGAGTGGATAAGTGAGATGCAAGAGAGCCACATACCCTGCCTTGAGTTCAAGGAAGAAAGATGGGATATAAATAAATAAATTTGTCAATCTGCATTTTTAAAGGACAATGACTCTAACATGTTCTGTTAGTTTCCTTTATTTCTTTAATACGTGTGCATAGGTACTATTCCCCACTTGAACTACTTCCCAGATTAAGCTGAAGACTGCTAGAATACCAGGAAAGGGATTTTCTATTCACATCGCTAACCTCAGCAGCGGAATGTAGGAATGCTAAATGCTATATACATCATCAAACAATCGGAATTAAAGTAACAGTAACACACACAATTCCAATGCCCTATACAACAAAACCTACAAATATAATAAGTAAACAATGAAACCCACAAATATATTAAGTAAACAGATAGAAGGCCAGTCAATAAATAGTACAGTGGTGCCTCGCATAATGATGTTAATTGGTTCCATTAAAAACATCGTTATGTGAAAACATCGTTAAGTGAAACACCATTTCCCATAGGAATGCATTGAAAACCGGTTAATCCGTTCCAATAGGAGCCTATTCGATACATTTCAATGGTGAAAAAAAAATCACCAAAAATTCATAAAGACTCAGAACAAAGCCAAATTACTTTAACGAAGGTTTTATTAGGTGCACTAACGATTCCAAGCATTTTAAACATTTTTAAACATTTTAGAATATTTTAAAACATTCACATCGCTAGAGCACACCTCAGCAGCGGAATGTAGGAATGCTAAATGCTATATACATCATCAAACAATCGGAATTAAAATAACAGTACACGCACAATTCCAATGCCCTATACAACAAAATCCACAAATATAATAAGTAAACAATGAAACCTACAAATATATTAAGTAAACAGATAGAAAGCCAGTCAATAAATAGTACTTAAGACACAACCCTAGCAGAGCACGCCAGGCTCCATCCACCAGAGTAGAAAGGTATCATAGAATCACAGAACAGTTGAGTTGGAAGGATCCTATAAGGCCATCACATCCAACCCTCTTGCTCAATGCAGGAACCCCAAGTGGGGGATGTGCTTGACACTCTTCTTCCAAAGTCTGTTCATTCACCATAATGGGAGGAAATTTCTCTCGACCTGCACCAGGTTTGTTGAAGCATCTCCTGGGTAGGGCACATTGCCAGAGGCCAGGAGAACTCAGGACCCCACAGGTCCAAATTCTGTCCTGATTTGCCCACAAAGTGCCCCTGATCATCTCTCCCTTGTCTCG